AAGACCAGTGGCAAACTTTGGTAGGTTGTGCCATCCCTTCAAGCCACGGCGTAACCAGACCAATTATCCAACTCCAAACCAATCATCACTTACAAATGACCGGGACAGCGAGAAAAGAAACATCGCAGATTGAAATACCAGTGGGCCAGCCCCAATGCCCCAGACGTTACCCCGCAACGCGCCGCCCCCGCCGTCTCTTGCTCCACTAACTTGGCGCGGAACTCCCGCCTCAGTTGAGAAGGGGCGTTGAGGTGGGGGGAGATGCGTCTTGCATGTGAAGCTTTGGATGTGCGGATCATAACCACACACCCATATCTTTCTGAGGCTTTTACTGACCCAAGCACTTGTGGCCCCTTCTAGTGAGTGGCCTGTGTTGGAAACAAAGAAGCTCCACCCACCTCGCTTGCGGCCCACGCTGACTCTGCAACAATCAGAGTTACACCAGGGACCCTCCTGGCACATACATATGTATATGCAGTGTCTCCAATCACCGTATGTTCATTTCAGGAGACTGTCAAGGGATGATGTGGACGGAGTGCCCCTGGGGCCGGTGGGTCACTCGACTCGAAGAGACACCCTGACACTGCTTGCACCCAGTGGCACCGCTGGGGGTCTTCTGGAAGGATGCATGGATTTGGCATGATTTGGCTGTGTCATGGCACCAGGATACCTTGCTTGCCCCTAGGAGCTACAAGTCTTGACCCCCATCCCTTTGGTCTCCCCCACCAGTCTCGGAGTCAGTCTGATGTCTTAATTAGCCTCCCGGCCAGTCCTCCTTCTTCATGGCCTCTGCGGAGATGGGTTGATGAGCTCACTTGCGAGAACACCGATGACGGCCCGACTCATCTGATGTCCTGCAACCCTTCAAGCGGCCCGCAAGGGTCCCATCCATGAACGGGCACTCTTCCCAGTCGTGGTCACTTTACCGATACGAATGAGCCCGATTTCCATGGCTTGCGGACTTCACATAGCTAAGAAGGCACGTAGGATGTGCACTTCCTGCTACAAACCAAAGCCAACCGAAGGTAGCCAAACCGCTTATGAACCCGCAGTACTTGGCCTAGTTTCCCCGTTGAGCACCTCCAGACCTCCAGTTGCTCTGTTGCCTGTGTCATCTTCCAAGAGACCAACTGCTCAGCCCAGATGTCTTTTGGCATGTCAATAGCTCTAAGGATCAGCCCGGCACAAGTTTTTTTGTTTTTTAATTTAAGAAGCGCCGCAAACCCCACCCAACAAACGCACGAACCACAGACCACTTCAGTCGACCATCGTCACCACTTCAGTCGAGTCCGTCGAATGGGAAGAACAGCTGCAGCATGCTAGCTGCTAGCCGCCTTCCGAACCAAAAAACATACAGCAACATGCCCATATACTCCATGGGACTGCCATCTATGCGGATCAATTGACACCCAAACCACCCCCCCTGGCCTGATCGGCAGTCCTATGGCAGAAGCAACACTCAAACTAACGGATTTTTGAGGTGAAATTCCCAAACCATGTCCCAAAACGCGTAAAACATATATACCTGGTTTCCCACCTCAATCCGATAGGTTCCAAACACCATATGTCTCAAAACACAAACATGCATCTCAATTCAAAAAAATGCAGATCCAAAACACCATCCACCATCATCTCAACCGAGCGCTGCGAGAGAACTCATCCCTCCCTCCGCGCGCAGTCACCCACGCGTCTCTCCCAAGATGCGCTGGTCGCGGTACGCGGCAGAGCGCCGGCTGCGCGCGCGCGCCGGCGCCTGCCGTCGGAGACGTTTCGCGAAGGTGGCCAGGCCCAGTGAAGCGCCCAGGGCGAAGGAGGCGAAATCGTCCAGCTGAGGCTGCGGCAGCTGAGCGGGTGGGAGGCGTCTGACGGAGCGAGGGGGGGAAAGAGTACAGGATGACGGCGGAAGATCAGGGATGGCATACCCTAGGGGCTCCAGTTGTACCTTCGTTTCGAAGGTGGGACTGGGGTGAGTTTAGAGGGTCCAGTCATACCTCCTGAGCAGGTACTTGGAGCCCTAGGGATATATAACATCGATCAGAAATTATAGCAAGCAACACCCTTGGTGCTTGAAACGGGGGTCGACGTAGCATGACCTGGTCATATTCGGGCCAGTTCGGAGTGAGTATTATGTCGGGTGGTGGGTTTGTGAATACGCCGATTGGGTGGATTGTGAGAAGGATGATATATTTCTGTATAACACCAGGGGCCCCACAAACCGTCAAAGACCGTGGTTTCTCTAGCATGCACAACAAATGTTTGTTTGTATGTAACCACCTCTATTCTTCATGGTTTTTGAGGGCCACTGTCATAGCTTTACTAACTATAATGTCCTCGAAGAAGTCTATGATCACCTTGGGGGCCCAAAGATTGACATAATCCAAACACTCCATGCATATCATTGACCCCCCGAAACCACCCCAATGTAGGCATATATGGCATACATGGTGTGTCTAAGTTAAGGTCTAGATGCCACAGATTGGCAGGCTGCCAGGCCCCCCCCCCGCCGGATTTTGCTCAAGCCACCAGGAACAACTGTCAGTCCCTGACTGTGGAGATGCCAGGATTCCGGTCACTAAACGTTAGGCCTGTCAAATGATCGACTTATATATAGACTCATGAGTCCATGACCCATGCCGTCCATGTTTCCCGGCGCACCAGCGACGAAGCGCCATGAGTCGAAGCAACATGAAAGCCTACTAGTAACAAGTGCATCGCTTCTAGTAACAAGGGCCTTACTAGTAGTAACAAGAAGCTACTAGGAGCAAGGGCATCGCTACTAGGGAGCTTACTGGACGCGTTTCACGCGAATTAACACATGGACGTCCCGATCGCAGCCAGGCCTGAACCCAGCCCGGCTCGGACCTGGCGAAGATCGGTGCAGAATGCAGAGACTTGAGTGGTGCTTCGTCTTCCGGTCGAAATGCCGGAGAAGTCGGAAAAAGGTTATATGATGTTACCCCTAGGGCTCCAAGTACCTGCTCAAAAGTATTTGGACCCTATAAACCCACCACAAACACCTTCTTAGAAGGTACTTGGAGCCCTAGGGTACATGATCTAGTCGTAGCTGCTACTAGATCACTGGGTGTCCAACACTTTGGCAACTGGACTGACGCGTTCTCGAACGGCAAAAACATCTCCGTGCAGTTTCTCAGGAAACTCAACTGGACTCCAGGGTCTTGCTCAAAAGGCTCTTGCAAATCCATGATGTCCATGCTACATGACTGCAGCTCAAACTGGGGGCATTCTCCAAAACAGTCAGCTCACTAAGTAACAAATACAACCAACCAACCCAACCACCCACCCAACCAAGCAACACCCGAACCCAAACGACGAGAAGCCGAGACCCGCCTTCGCGGTGTGCGTACGCCGTACCGCCGGGAACTGCGGACACACCGAGAGCTTGCCTGGCGAGACGGGCTACGGACGGGCTGCGGCAGCCAGTGCGGGACGGGCTGCGGCGGGGTGCGACGCGATCCAAACGCGTTAAACGCATGGCTGCGATGACAGATTCCTGGAGTGAAAGGAGTCAGGAGATGGACGATGGAGGAAGCTGGAGATGATTCATTTGATTGGTTGGACCTGACCTGAAGTACCTTGGAAAGGAGTCAGTTCCCAACACTGGTTGAAGAACCCTATAGACTATCCATGACTATCCCATAGGTACCCCAGTAGTGTCCTAGTATAAGGTCACTTAACCTATCTTGCTGTCTCCGGATGTTTTGGGCAAAGCTGCACTCCTCTTAGGCTTTAAGATCCTGGTAAACCCGAACCCGCCACTGGCATGCGCCAACCAATTAGAAGCAGCCATGTGATATGGATGAATACTGATGAATATATGGGTGTGTATTAGAATAAGGAAACCCCTCGAAGACCTCTTGGGAAAGATCAAACATGCCACTAAATCCAGTGGTTGGGAGGTTCTCCTTACAAACATACATTTTATCATCACATCTGTATATATATATATATACATTACAAAAGCATCAAAGGTGGATCTCAAAAAGTGGGTGGATCTCAGGAGGGGGGGTACCATATATATAATTAGTTATTATAATTGTATATATATATATATACCAGGGCCCACAAGGGGTGGTTAACATCTAAGGGGCTATCAATAGAAGCCCCTATTAGGGTGTCCTGGTACTGTATATAATATATATAATATATATTACATTAACCTAAAAGGACGCGGTATGTTTAATTTATTGTGCCTACATCAACACATAAGACTGCGTTGGAATGCACCTCAAGCCCATAGTGATGTGCAAGCCTTGGTACGATCAATCGGTCGATCCAATAATCTGGAGCGAGGGCAAACGAGTGTCCTTCTTCTAGATGAACAGGTTAAAAGGGGTGGTTTTCAATCTCTAAGTGCGCGGATGATCTGGGCACTCCAAACTGGAACTACTGGTGTGGAAAACAGGAACTACTGGCACACCGAAAACTGAACGGGACTGGGAAGACTTTGTGACTGACGGACCTGTGGTTCATTGTGGTTCAAGCGGTTCAAGTGATGGCTTGCAGTGTAGTTTGCATCAAGAAAAACGCACACCCACACACCTCTTTTCCGCGGCTTGCCGGTTGTGAAGTGGGTCTTGAGTGTGCTCCAAGATGCTCCAAAAGGTTGTAGGTTTCGAGACGTTTGACGACAGTTAACCTCTCAAACGACCCATAACCCAGGAATGTTCATGACTCTTGCATGATTTCCACAATTCTTTGGGATGACAGAATGACTGTACCGAGACTGTGGTGTGGAAACTGGTGACAAATGCTGCTAGCACTCAAAACTAACCATGGTCTTTTAACACGCCCTGCCTGAAGCATTTCCTGTTGAGCTCGGTTTGGTCCACGATCTCTTGGTTTGGTGCTACGAGAGCCTCCTTCATCGACTTTACAAGCAAAAAGCTCCGGACCCCAAGCCTCCTTTCTTGGCAAGCTGACTCCCTCCAGTTGATTCACCTACAATCTTCGCCCACTGCCCTGACTGGCATGCGCCCCTTTTTGGCTCCGACATACGCTTCCACTCACATGCTCGCTCAACCTCAACCTGTCCTTCTCTCAACCTGGCGTCCAAGAGATGTTCCTGAGTCCAGGCGGCGGAGAGATCCATCGGATGCACAGATCCATCACAGAAACCCAACACTCCACGGTACTTCCATGTACTTCCCATCTCGCCTGGGAACCTCCGGCCCCTTCGGCCAGACGGCGCACCGTGAAGCGGTCGAAACCGTGGACATCCCGGTCATAGACTCCCGTGGTCATCGCCGCAAACAAATGGGTCATGGAAGAAACAAACATGGAAAACCTATACCTGGACCTCCAAAGGCGTGTCCTGGCTGGAGATCCCTATAGGCAGTGGGCTGGGGCGAAACCAGCCAGGTGACCCCGACATGAAGGTGCTGGTATTGAAACGCACATTGAAACCACGTGTTTTCCCAAAAAGGTCAGGTCGTGTGTTTTTGTTCTCCTTTCTTCTCCCCCAACCGTGTTTCGGTCATTTGCAGGCCTCTTCCTACCCGCCATCCTTCCCTCGTTCTTTCCGGACCTCCACAGGGCGAAATCAAGGAGCTAAGTCGTTGGAGGATCGCCCCAGGACCCCAACCACCATGAAACATCCCTGGACCCGGCTTCAAGCACCGAAAACTGACTGGGAGACGATTTTTGTTCACAAAACATGCAGGTGTACGACTAGACCCATGTTCCGGGGACAAATGGTCTCCCTACATGGACTCCCCCGAAACCAGCTCCAATGTTGGGCAAATATGCAAGTAGATTCGCAAGACCCATAGGTGTTTTCATGTGTTTTCATGTTTTTTCATCATTTTGCAAGGCTTCGGACCCGGCCAGCAGTGGGAAGCCGGGTCATTGAAGAACGTCTGGTAGAAGCAGTTTTCCAAGTTTGGACATTCATGGAAACACTCTCTAGCTAGCAGCTAGCTCCTTGCCATTCCTTGGCTCCCTCTTTCAAGAAGAGTCCACCTCTGGCTCTAAACGGCTCTGATTTGCCCCTGGCCACGTGGCTCCGCACCACGGCCCACCAGCCGAATGGCCGAGGACAAACCGAACGCAGAACCGACCAACCGGCCGCCGCAGACCGAGCGTCTGAAAGCTACTCGGGCGGCCGAACCTCAGTGCAAACCGCGGTTTGGGTGAGTTGCAGTAGCTGCTGTGGAGGTGACATCAGCGGGTGGAGGGTGGATGTCACCTCTGACAGAAGCAGCTCTGAAGTCAAAGGATCTAAGCTTTCATGGTAGGAACATCTATATATAATATATATATATTATATATATATACAACATGTGTTTGTACACCCCTTGCTCAAACAAGTGGTGGTTGGCTCCTTTTTGGGCAAAAACAAAGGCAAACAACAAATCAATTTGGCTGAGACTGTGGTGAAGGGATCAATGTTTTGGTGGCTTCAGATACCTCATGCCCCTTGAGATCCACTTCGGAAGGAGGAAGGAACTAACAATGCGGGTGGGTCCAAGGTGCACCTAAGAAAGTGAACAGAACATTGGGAAAATGGGTGATCACATGCATGACCACCCGGATCCTTGAGCCAGAATGCATTACCACATCTTCCGAAGATCTTATCCTCACCGGTCAAAACATCACCAGCTCATAAGGCCCCCAATGGAGTACCTTTCCAAAAGGGGACCCTTGGCCGGTCATCGGAGCCCTTGGCCAGTCACACCTGCCCTCTCCCTTGGTGTGACCAAGCTACGGCCTGGGTGGTGGCACTCTCGGCCTCCAGGGCGAGGGGCGCCAGCCGGGTGCGCCGGGAGCAGCAGGGGCAGCGCCTACAGGCGAACCAGAAACAGGGTCCACGGACACGAGGGTCGTGACCTCTGGATGCCTCTTGCACGCTCATTGGGAACTGACAAGGTCGTGACTGGAGGACTTTGAGCAAACCACTTTGAAGCTCCTGGTGTGCACTCGTCCCTCCCGAGTCGCGCGCGCCCTCGAATGTGTGCACCTTGCATCTTCATGGGCTCTGGCCCTGGCTCCTCAGATGTGCAGGAAAAGATCTGGAACAAGCAGCCAAAAAAAACAAGACTACCAGGGATAGTGTCTAGCAGAAGCCGCAGCACCAAAACATCCCTGATAAAAGGAAACGTCAAAATACCGCGTTGCTAGAACCCTCTCTCTCATTATGTCTTCCAGCTCCATGACCTTCTAAAAATGAGATCAGGTGGCGTTGATGCCTCTGTTTAGAATGTACTGTGCTGAGCTGGCCACAGCACAACAAAATAACCTCCCTGACCCGTTTTTGATAGGACACGAAACAAACAGCATCGTATGAGTCATCTGTGGTCATCTATGGTCACCACTTCGTTAAGTTTTGAGGAGGTTCTAGCCATGAATGGATGAGTCAAGTAGGTTGTGGTAGGTTTGTCAGATGGCGGCCTTGAACCATCTTGAAGCCTCCAACCATGAACATCGGTCCATGGCTGGGAGAGATTCACTGACTCAGGCTGAGTCTCAAACGTATCGACAACAGGTTGTTGTTGGTTTTCAAGGGACTTGAACATATTAGTCGGTGGGTTCAAATGGGTTCAATATGATTCAATGATCCCAAGTAAAGGTTGGAAACAAAGATATCTTAACTTGGATGTACTTGGAAGGTGGTCCAGCTGAACGAAGTGGACAGTCCCGGCTGCCATGCAAAGCACCCGGCCAGCCATTCTTCTCTTGATGTCACTCCATGTCAGCATGGTGCGCTGTCAGCACGTGCTCCGGAGCACTTGGCATGGTGAACTCATGTGACTACTCTAGCCTGGACAATCAGACGCCCCACAGACTGACTCTTCCTCTTCCCTCCCGGTGCCCCGGCTGCGGCTGGGGCGCCAAGAAGGTGGGGCCGCCCGCCGCCGAGGCGTCTTGCGTCACCCAGCCGATGGGCTTCGGAAACCTCGGCCGGCGCTCGGCGGCGAACGCGTTCGCCCGGGAGCGGCGAAGAAGCTGAGCTGGTGGGGGCGACTGGCAGGAGGTGCATGGGGCAAAAAGATGAACAACAAGATCTCACCCCTGCAAGTGATTCAATCAACATCTCTCTGAAAAAAGGGCCGTTCGATCCCAAGGTCGGCTTCGCCAAGCCACAACGGGCTGGAGGGATGTCGGATCTGCACCCGCACAATGCCATTCTCGGTGGTGAAGGCAGGAGCCACCTGCACCCGGTGGCCAGGCCGTGGCATCACCGGCAGAACTGTTCGCACCATTGAGGTGAGGCACCAAGCAAAAGCCATATACCAGGACCCTCCTGTCGCGGTGTCCTGGCTGGACTACCCCACACTACCTATAGGCTTCCAGACAGGGCACCCCTTGGAGGGTCCTGGTATGATCACAGTATAGTTGTAGCTATTGGAATTGGGAATGATCTGAGCAGTGCAAATGACTAACCCTTAGTCCAAACTTGAAGTTATATAGTACAGCAAACAGCAACTTTCCAAACAATGCCGACTTAGCCTCTAATTTAGCTATATTTCTTAAAAATCCAACATCATCTAATATCAATAATAGTTCGGCGGTCTCCATCCTCTGCCCGACTTCCGACTGCTTTTTGGCGGGTTCCCCGGAGAAAAGCAGCGCGGCGCCCGGCATCACCTGCTCCACGATTTCCCCCTCCTGGAGCTTTTGAACCTCCTGGAGCGCGAACGGCGCACTGAGACCCAAGGCCAGGGCCATCGAAGCTCTTTCGATTGGTGTTTCGATCGTCTCATGCCCTGAACAAAAACACTGGAAGTGACTGTGCATCGCACGTTGGGCTCGCCAAGTACAATGCTGGTAGGGAAATCCAAGAAATCCGTCGAAGTCTCAGGCCGGCAGTTCTCAACTATCAAATCTCGAACAACATCTTTATACCAGGACCCTCCTGTCGGGGTGTCCAATGAACTACCCCACACTACCTATAGCCTTGCATTGGGCACCCCTTGGAGGGTTCCTGGTAGATATTGCAATATATTGCCCCTATAGGGCTTCAGAGGTGGGACTGGGAGCCCGGGTGCCAGCCTGTTGCTTCCAATCATACCGAACCGTTTCGGAGGTACACACTGGAGTTGTAAGGTGCATATTCTATCAGTTCAACACCTGATCGAATCCTTCTCTCTCTCGAAGAAGAGTTCAGCAAATCCTTACTCTGTCTGGTGGATTCGCATGGAGGTGGATGGCACCACCCGTTCAGCTTCTTCGGTCTGTACCTATGGTCGACCATGGTCGACCCATGCCATGCCACTTCGTTAGCGAACAAGGGAGTCGTAGAAGAAATGGGTACATGTAATGTATAACTAAAAAATGGGAGACCTTCCAAAGACCCCGTGGAAGAAGGAAAATGGATCAAAACCGGTGTCACCCCAAAAAATATGGCCAGCCCTAACCGCTGGCGCCAGCTCTGGCTTCGCTCCACTCTCCGCTCCTCGCTCTCGAGCTTCTCTGTCTTCCGCACCACGGTGTTGTTCCGGGCCACTCGCCACCTGGTGGATCGGCATTGCGGGCGCGGTTTTTTTCCATGTTTGGTCCCAATACAACCTAAAGACCTTCGAATTTGGAATTCTCAGGCTCTTGGTGGTTTGGAGTAGGTGATTTATCGCTACTTGTTCTTATATAATAAATATGTATAATTATCGTGATTTGGCTTGCCCATGCACTCCTCAAACCAACTTCATACTGGTCATCAACATCGAAAACTCCACTTGGACTCACTTTTTGGCATGTTCCATCATCCAGCACCTTCATGTCATGGGTCACCTGGCTGGTTTCGCCCCAGTCCACTAACTCGTACCATCTGGGATCTCGGACACAAATGAAGGTCCATCATGTTGCATCATGGAACCAGCACCAGATCTTCCTTCGGTGCATTCTTTCGCGTGCAAGTGTGACGTCCGAAGTGCCAGTTCTCCGTGTTTCTGCGTGCAGTGACGTCCGACGTCCACAGGTACGTCACCTGCGACGTCGGAAGTCAGTCTGCCACCAGTTCGGAGACCTGCCTGTAGTCGGGTCCAGGTATAGGTTAAGCTGTTTCATCTTCTGTCCACCTGCTCGTCTGGTGAGACATGGTTAGACCAATCCTTCCAAAATGGTGCCATGTAGGGCAGGCGATCCACTGAGTGATTAGCATGCTACTATAGAGACCAGCACCCTGACAAGTCCGGTGCCCAGGTTCACCTCCTGTGGGAGTTGGTCTCCACACAGCCTGGCCAGGAGGGTCCTGGTAGAGACCTACACCCAGAGTCGTCACCAATTTGGCCCCTGACGTCACGGATCGTGCGACAAACATGACCGAACGTGTCTCCCTTCACCATCGGTTCCGCCCTGATGAGCTACACCAGGTACCATTCATCCAAGCCGCTTCTTGGGGGTGAAGTACTGGGGTGCAGCCACTGCCACCGGTGCAGGCGGGTAGTAGGGGTATCCATACGAGGGCCGCGGTGGATAGCCAGGGCCAGGCCCAGGGCGGCCTAGCGAAGGGCTCTCCACCGGTTTCTGGAGAGTTTTGGGAGCCTATCTGAGGGTCGGGATGGGATGGATTAAAACAAAAATAGATCGTCTGACTGAAGCTGAAGTTTGGTCAACTTGGCACAGTGCAGGCCTCTAACTTGATACATCGGTTCAACTTCTCGCACACGGATCTGAAGTCTGAAGCACATCTGACTCTCCACAACCACATCTGAATCTTCTGTCTATGATATCACATTCTAGGGTCGGGACTTTAATTAGTATTTTGTTGCTTTTAATTTGGGTTTTGTTTTGTTTTTTGGTGGTCTGTGTGGTTCTCAATGGGAAAGGCATTATAAGTAGAGATTTTGTCTATAGAAGAGTCATCAAAAGCAAAGAATGCAATAGAAAACTCATTAAAAGAGAGAGTTCAATATAAAGCTATAAGAAAATAGCGATTTTAGTAGAAAAACCGTTGAGGTTTCAATATACGATACTAAAGCCAAAACCCACACAGAAGCCAAAAGTCACAAAAGCCACACAACCCAGAAGCCACACAGAAGCCAAAAGCCCCAAAAGACCCCAATGCCACAAAAGCCAGAAGCCACAAAAGCCACCTAAATAACAACTAAAAAAGAATCATCAAAACAAACATGCAAAAATTCACCCTGAAATCACTCTCCCATTCTAATTCTAATAGCAAATTCAAATAAACGCCTAATAAGATTCTTGAATCTTCTTGACAAGCATATTTAATTGCCTCTCTCATTATCTTCCCACACACGAGGGGGCCTGGTGGATAGGCCGGCGGCATGTAGCTCTCCGGTGCCCGCACCGGCGCCGCTCGCACCGGCGAGCGCGGCGCGCTGGCGCGCGGCGTGGAGCTTGGGCCCGGCGTGCCGGGCGGGGCGCCGGCGGCGCGGAAGGACCAGCGGCCGGTGTCGGAGTCCTTGTGAGAACGAGTTCGGAACTCGAGATCCAAGGTTCCAACGAAAGGAACTGCAAGAGTTCATTCCTGGATCTTCTA